GGGCCAAAAGTGTAACTTGTTTTAACAGGATCACTAATATTGACACTGTTTATCTCAGTGTCACCCTTTAGTATAATCACCGTGTATCCTGTGATAGGACTCCCGCCATCATCAACTGGTGCAGTCCATCGCACTGTTAGTGAACTGGCCTGGATACCATCTTCTGATGATACTATGGATGGTGCACCTGGTTTCTCTAAAAACGGTAAAGAAAAACATTGTATATCCACTATTCTATAATCAAATGAAAATTTAAAGGTATAACATATCGATAACGAACACCTTGAGTAAAGTGTTAAAATATCCTGCTTACTTGATAGAGCTAAATCAATGGTCGAAGCTGAGAAAGCTTACATGGTGTTTTTGGGAAGACACTGACATGAACCCTTTGATAGAGCTTTTTGTTTTTAGCCTACGGTTTGATCATTTCGAAAACAATAAGCCACTCGTTGAGACAAGTGATAATCAATTAAATGCTGTTGGGTTACAATGTCGCCATTGCATAGGTTTTGCCAAAAGAAAATCTTAGAACTGATCCTTGGGAAGTGTTATTGCTGTCGTAACTCTGATTGTCTGTGATTCTTACCGAATCAGTCAAGTTTACGAAATAAAAATGGAAGTGCACGAAAGGTCTATTTTACTGTACTGATTTCACACGCGTCTCAACCCTGTCAACATTCCTTTGACTCATTTCGCATCTTATTTGCTAGGTTACATATAAACTTTTGATCAAACTAAATTTGTATGATAATAGTATTGCGCTAATTAAGAAACGTAGATGTTTTCCAGTTCCCTAATTAGCGCTCAGCAGAAGAGATACGAAATCATACTTTTAGTCAGTTCCAGTTTTTTTTTTTTTTTTGCCTGAAAACTGCTTTCCATGATGACATGACTGACGCTTTGCCACAACTAAATCTTACTTATCTGTGTTATTTTTACTATTCTGTCGTCAGAAGGACTCAGTCCATTGGCAGCAATGCACTTGTAATCACCAAAATCTTGATCTTTCCTGAGCGTCACTTGCGCTTTGTTTTCTCTGGCTCTGATTCTGTGGATTTTCATTCCATTTGGTTTGTACCAGGTGAGTATTGGTGTGGGAACACCGTCTGAAGAACACTTCAAAGTCACCGTGTGACCAATACTAGACTTACTGGATGAAATGGTCACATTTTCTATAATTGGAGGGTCTGAAAAGTGAACAAGAAGTCATTTGAGTTACAAAAGGGAACCAACACTTGCTAGGAATATTGGAAACCTCTTCACACTAGTATTAGCACATTTATTTGTTCGGATTCCTAGCTGATTCCCTTTCTCTGCTACCATTACTTGCAAGTGGAACTTTGATTTACAAAGCGTCATATATGTCTATTTCAAGAGTTATTTTAGGAAGCAATTAATAAATTCTGAGATGATACTGTCTTGTTAGTCTGGAATTTTACAATTTCTGTGACAGTATTTCATGATAGTGCTTTTTATCAAAAGTTCAACTTCCTTAGCATTTGCATAGACACAGTCTCATCGCACTTACATGCACTAAACATGTGGTCATCTGCTGTGAACTCTTCGTTAAAGGAAAATACCGTCCTTGAATTATAATAGTAATGGTAATATTAAAGGTTAGCTTTTATAACATGGTAAGAACCTTTCAACTCGTCCCCTTGACTTCAGAAGCACCTTAATTGGATTATAATTTCCACAGGTCTCGTTTAATCATCGATCTTCACAACTACCAGGCAACGCAATTTATGCCCTATATATCAGAATTTTATTGATAATAATCCTATAATTGTTATAGAAAACTCTGTTATTACTTACAGTAGACCAGGAGTACAGAGTGATTGATTATGGTGTCAGCCGTGTTGTTTGCTACACATAAATACCATCCGTCATCTGTTCTTCTAAGACGGTTGAACTTCAAAAGTGCCGCTCCCTTCCCTGCATTTATCGCTGTTCCGTCTCTGATCCACGTAACAGCTGGTTCTGGAATTCCGGATGCTGTGCAGTTGACGTTAACGAAGGCTCCCTCCCGATAACTTCCCTGCACTGATGAAAGACTTATCTTTGGTGGCTCTGCAAGAACGAACCGGTAAAGAGT